CTAAGGAAGTGCAGCATCCCATAGTTGTGGTAGTGAGACAAATAAGAGCCATACACGAAGTGCCATACTTGTGGCAAAGTTTGGTTATGCAATATGATTGAGGCGGCGTCTAGTTTTAGGTTGTCCCAACTTGTAAGGGCATGCACAAGAATCTGATGTGTGCGCTAAGCATATGAAGAATTGAAGACCTTACTATAACTCTTTTAGTTGTGAGACTGAGTGAAGGCTACCTTTTTCCTTCTTTTCGAGAAACTGGTCATACAATCATCTCCTGGCAAGTAATACATACTGGACTTAAAAAATACTGTAGAAAGGATGAGCTAGTAGTAAGTGAATAGGATCTCCATGAAGTTGGTGTTATTCTGATAACCCTGTGGTTGGTACTTCCTATAATGTGTTTTGCAAAAGGAACATGGCATAATTTAGCTATAATATGTGGGCTACAGTGTCAGCAACTTTAACATTTTCCTTCTGATGTGCACTAAAAATAGATAAGTGAAACATGTATTTAGCATGATCTACAATCTCTTATCCACCATAAATTTTAACAAGACTACGTTATTTTTGCAGGGACCACTGATTTCACTCCTGTGTTTTCAACTCACTTGGGCTCCGCGAGAGTGCTGCCATACTGGGTATAATTCATCATCTTTGATATCTTCTTTATTTTAAGGTCATACCGACATTTTTCTTGCTACTGCACCTTATGAAGTGTACTTGTTGTTGGTCATCTTATGTAAATCAAAGATGTAACTGCACGTTCTGTTTCTTATGAAAGAATTAACAGGAAGCATGTATTCCTGTTCAGAGCAAAAGGCGTCATGCTGTTCAACTTCATTACTTGTTATAAGATAATGTAGTGCTGGTATTCAAATAAACAACAGATGACAAATGTTTAATACAGTTGGAACTGCGATATTGAATTACACCTGCCATCTATAGGGTCTGAGATTTGTTGTCCCCTCAACTGATATAGTACATGTGTAATCAATCTTTCTGATCTTTGATCTGTGTAGGCACTTACAGATCAACAAATAAAAACGATAGATATAGACTCATCTCAAAACAATGTTATGCAATGTTATAATCTTATACTCCCTCCGTCCTGAATTACTTGTCTTACATTTGTCTAGATACGGATGTATCTAGACACGTTTTAGTGTTAGATACATCCGTATCTAGACAAATCTAAGAGAGGTAATTTGGGACGGAGGTACTAATATCTTGGGAGAATATGATTATGAAAGCTAACTATTGAAGTCACTACAAAATTATAAACAGAGTCTGTTAAATTTACGAGTTGAAAGATTTAGCATTAGGGTAAACCAACATAATTTTGTTTTGAATTATAAAGACACCGACAATTCTAAGATATGTTGATCATGACAGAAGTGGACATGTCATGACTGTGCTCTCCTTTTAGTAGATAGCTGCTCCTGGTTGTGGTCTCCTTTTCCCTTTGTATGCAATTTTTATGACCCTTTAATGTTAAGTAGCCTTTTATGGATCTCTTTTTACTTTTGCTGCATGAGCTTTGTAGTTGAGACTTCCTAGATTCTCATCTCATATTTTTTTGCTAATCAGCAGGATCATCACCTTCTGTTTGGCCTGAACTGTGGAAGTTTCTAAGTAGAAACTGAGGGTCAGTTCAAAACTTCATCCCACTCACCCCATACATACTGGCGAGAAATGGATCGTGATGATGTATCTGGCTTTGTTAGCGGGGGTTGCAAGCTGTTCTGAGTTTTCTAACCTAGTAGAAGTTCATAAATAAAGTTATGATACCAGGAAGTCAGTCAACTGGTGGTTCTTTTCATTTACTAATTGGTTGATGTTTCCGAATTGGAATGGACAAAACTTCTCATGGCCTTGGATTTGGTGATAGAATCAACTCGGTGAACACTTCTCATTACCAGAGTTCAGTTGAACATACTGCTCAGCATAGAGATACACTTGATTCCACATCATACTCCAGCTTTTCATTCACTAACACAAAAGCCCTGAAAAGGAAGTGGGGTACTATGGCGGGAGCAGAAGGTACTGGGGATGCATTACTCACTCTGGGTTTAGGCCGTTCACCAAGTTCATCTGACAATAGCAAAGTAAGCTCTGCCACAGCTTGTGCAATGTCTCCATGCTCGCTAAAGGAGGCTGATGAGGAGTCATCTGTTGATCTTAGCTTGAATTTTGAGCTTTCCCTTGGCAATGATGTTGCACACTTCCAAAGGAAATCCTCTGCTGCTTTGGTGGCCAAATCTCCTAAACTGGATCTTCAGTTGAGTTTATCCACTGGCTCACCTGAATCTGCTGTCACTTGTACAAATATGGTGTCACCAAATATTCATGATGGCTTGGACATACCAGTGACCTATTCATTACCAGCCATTATAGGGAATGGGTCAGCACCGTCTAGTTGGGGTTTTGAGCACTCTGTGGTTTCATCATCATATGCGTCTGAAGCAACATATGCCTTTCCATTTTCGAAGATACCCAGACAAGAGAATGGTGCTTTAGCTTCGCCAGTCATATCGTCAACTATGCCAGCAAGTGTGAAGAGCTCGGTTGCCTCTACTTCGGTGGTAACTAACCCTCAGCAGCGCAATCTTAACACTAAAACCTGCCAGTTCCCTGGATGTGGGAAAGGGGCAAGAGGTGCATCAGGGCATTGCATAGCCCATGGTGGTGGCAGGCGATGCCAGAAACCTGGTTGCCAGAAGGGTGCTGAAGGAAGGACCATATATTGCAAGGCCCATGGTGGAGGGAGGAGATGTGAGTTTCTTGGATGTACAAAGAGCGCTGAAGGGCGCACCGACCACTGCATTGCCCATGGCGGTGGCCGCCGGTGCAGTAATGATGGCTGCTCCCGTGCTGCCCGAGGAAGATCTGGCTTATGCATCAGGCATGGAGGTGGAAAAAGGTGTCAGCAGGAGAAGTGCACCAAGAGCGCAGAAGGTCATTCTGGCCTCTGCATCTCTCATGGGGGTGGGAGGCGATGCCAGTTTCCAGAATGTGCAAAGGGTGCACAGGGAAGCACAAAGTTCTGCAAGGCGCATGGTGGAGGCAAGCGCTGCACTTTCTTGGGCTGTACCAAAGGAGCTGAAGGCAGCACCCCTTACTGCAAGGGCCACGGAGGAGGCAAGCGCTGCTTATTTGAGGGTGGTGGAGTGTGCCCGAAGAGTGTGCATGGCGGGACGCAGTACTGTGTTGCGCATGGTGGTGGGAAGAGGTGCGCTATTTCCGATTGCACTAAGAGTGCTAGAGGGCGGACGGAGTACTGTGTGCGCCATGGTGGTGGCAAGAGATGCAGGTTCGACGGCTGTGTGAAGAGTGCGCAGGGGAGCACTGATTTCTGCAAGGCGCACGGGGGAGGCAAGCGCTGCTCATGGGGCCTGCCGGACTCGAGCTTCGGTATTGGCACAGAGCAGTGTGATAAATTTGCTCGCAGCAAGACTGGCCTCTGTTCAGCTCACACCGCTCTAGTCCAGGACCACTGTGTTCATGGTGGTGGTACATTAGGCCCTGTGATCCACCACTTCGCCACAGATGTTAAACCGGACGAGATGGAAATTGCTGCGGCAGTGAAGGTTGATCCTGTTTCGATGCAGTCGGAGCCTCCATTGCCGGAGGGCAGGGTGCATGGCGGCGGGCTGCTGGCGCTGCTTTCTCGCGGCGGAAACCACACAGGCCCTGTTGGTAACTCGGAGAACGGGGCCTCTGTCATGATGGCGTGGATGTGAGTGGGCGGACATTCTCATCAAGAATTGGTTGCTTCAAGTTTTGATCTGTTTCCAGAGCTAATGCTGTGGCGGGATGAAGTTCAACATTTCACCAATTGTTGTCCTAGTTGTTTGGAAGTGGTAGGACATATATCCTCCGTGTAGAATAAATAAGGGAGAGCGTTGTGGGCTTCTCTGTTATTGTAATTAATTAATTAATGTCGTCAAACTGCCCTTGCTTTGTGTTTATTACAATTTGTGTAATCTGATACTATTTCACAGTTCCTACTTGGATGTCGTCTCTTCGCTGTTTGCTTTCCTTTGTGTTTCTGGTAATAGTGCAGCATGTAGTACGATATTTTTTGGTGGGTACTGGGTAGAAGTCTGTCCTATATTGGTCGGATGAGGGTTATTTGGTTATCGATTATTCATCAGATAATTCTCTTTTTTTTTGTGAGCCATCAGATAATTCTCAGTCGCGTCAAGAGATGAATGTTGATGCATATTATCATTGCTAGAAACTCTCTAGATTTAGTACCATGAACGTCGAGAGATGAATGTTGATGCACATATCATTGCTAGAATCTCTCTAGATTTTTTCTGAAACCTGTGGCACACTATTCAAATCAAATACTTGTTACATCACTAACAAGTTCAACTAGGATAATCTACGAAGGATCAGCCTCCCAAGAAACTACAGCATTACTCCCTCCGTTTCGAATTACTCGTCATAGAAATGGATGTATCTAGAACTAAAATACATCTAGATACATCCATACCTGCGACAAGTAATTCGAAACAGAGGGAGTAGAATCATAGGAATTCCTAGCAAACTTCCAGGTGGTGGTTTCCTCCAGAAATTCCATATAGGCGTCCTGCACCAGTGTCAAACGAAACCTCTAGTGCACTGGTTCTTCCTGAACCAACACGCAACATGAATGATCCCCGACAAGGAAAAGGAGATGATATGCAGTTAACTCAAGAGTAAAGGCAATGCACAGTACGGTCAGCATAGGAAGACGCTCAGTACAATGTTCCAAGAGAATCAGTTACCGTGGCTACGAAGGAGAACGTGAACGGGGTCAACAGAAGCTCCATCGCAAAGCCAAATTTACACCTACGATCGCAACTCGATGGCCTAGTTATGTTACAGGGCAAAACTGGACAAAAATAATCACACCCACTTGGGAGCAACCAGTTAGGAAATTAGCAGAAAACAAAGAATGAACAAAATTTCCTGAAGAATGAATAACTGCCCTAAGTATGTGGTTAAGCGCTACTCAATCAAATGTCCGTCCTTGTGTCGTTTAAGCGACCGGCATCATCTGACGGTGGCTTTATATACCTCCCTATGGTTTTTTGCCGAGCCCTCTTCTTCATTCTCTGGATCTTGTCTTTGGTCTGTTGCTTCCTTCGCTCCTTCTCCTGCTGCCGCATGGTCCTCTCCCGCTCGTACAGACCTTGCCACACAACTTCGCCAGTTTGTGGCCAGAGCCACCTTCTGTCGGGGTGGTCCGCATCAGCCTCTTCTGCCAAGTCTTCGTCCATGCTCTTCAGAGTAGCGTAGGAGAACCACTGGATTGACATCTGACCTCTCCTGCCCTCCAGCGGATGCTGCTCCTGCATTGCACCAGTCTCTGGGTTTACATACACCATCCGCCGTGCACTGTGGAACGCCCAAACGTTTACAATCAACTCGAGAACACCAGAGTAGCAGTGCTTGTCCTGTGCATGTACATATCAACAAGAGAGCAACGGTCACAGGTTTTCGAGGTGGAAATAGCATAACTATCATATATCACAAACATATAGGTCAGATTTCATTTCCTGTAAAAGTGATCAGCTGTTCTTTTGTTCCAGCCAGAAGTGTTCGAATGTTCTATATCAGTATATCACTGTGACAGGACTAGGAAGGGTATTAACTATATTGTCTAATACTGTGATAGAGGCGCTCACCCTGTGGAGACTCAAGATGCAATGCCCAGTTTGATTATGCTTGTCGTACATCTGTGCATCCAGCGCATCTACAAACATCCTACAAAACAGCATCTCTGTAAAACACCAACTGAGTATATATATAAAAGAATTTGAACCATATAACGCAGGACTTAAAACAAACCAAGTCCTCTTTGGACCTTAGCCCAATGTCAGCACATGCAACAACAAGGCTATATACTTAAACAGTAAAAAATACACACATACTACTTTAACCATCGCTGGGCGTTATTGGAGACAGTATATACACAGGCTATGAAATTCTTAACAGTAGTAGATCACTTTTTTACAGCCTGTGTATATGCAGGAGTACTTTTTTATGCTCACGGTAGTAGATCACTTGAAATGCATATACAAGGCAACGACCAACTAGCCAGTGCACCAGGATTTCCATATCTACAGTTAAAAAAAGTACTAGCTATATGGTTTGGCTATAATAATACTTCAAAAAAAATGTTACCTTGAGAACATTACAAATTCCAGGAATGATCTCGTAGGCATAACCCAACTTTGCATCACAGACCACGTGTCTCCATCATTAGGCATACGTGGCAGAGAATTCAAATCTCCATCAAGCTGCAAGCCATATATCCTTTGAAAAGCCTCCAAAACAGCTAACCTTCAGGACAGAACTATGAAGAAAATTAGTTTGTTGTAAAACAAAGCAGTTCAGTTTGGCACCACAGCCAAAAATTCTACTTTAAACAGTTCGTGAAATAGCAACTTTAGTTCTGTAAACATGGTAGGCCAGAAAGGGCAGTAAGATTCTCTAAAATGTTACTTCCTCTGTAAAGAAATATAAGAGCATTTAGATCACTACTTCAATGATCTAAGCACTCTTATGTTTCTTTACGGAGGGAGTACTCTGTAAGAAATGATGGTTGGTAACATGTTTTTAGAACAACTTATTGCCCAATCCAATACAATATCTGTTAAAACTAGAACATTTGCAAAACAACATGCAACAGTGCAACCTATGAAACATGGTTAAATAGATGACCTGCAGTTCCCAGCATTAATCGCATCACAGAGGGACCAGAAATCTTGATTAGCATGATTTCTTGGATCTTGGTCCATACGAACCCAAAAGTAGAAGGCATCTCCATGCTTTTGAGTTTGAATAGCTTCCAACATTGCAGATTCAGCATTTTTTGACAAGTTCGCCTGCTTAGGAAATGGGATGGTAAATATAAATAGGATGCTAACAATTATGCATGACCTGGATAACTAATCTACATTGCATCATCAAAAGGAAAATTCATATCTACAGCTTGACAACATATTAGGCAGTGACATCCAATGCACAGGTTCTGTACAAAGAATAATGCCCAAATCATTCTTATATCTATCATATTCATTGAGAATCAGTGGTACCCCAAAATAAAAATAACCAAAATACAAAGACCTCTTTGATATCAAAACAAAAATCATTTTACCTTTCTTGCAGTCACCCTCCAGGATTGAAATCCTATCCAAGAATTCTTGTGTATCCGGTCAATTCTGTTAGCCAGAGCAAAGAAAGCTCCAAATTCGCCAAGGATATCTCTGTAGTACCCACTGTTGAGCAGCGGGAGACGAGAAGAAGCATCAATGTCATCTGCTCCGAATCTTCGACCTTTTGAAGACTAATGGAAAACAAACTTCATGTGATCAATTTAAGCCATTGAAATATTTCTTAAGAGTAGCCAAATATATTCTGGCTAGCCACATACCAACATCCGTTCCATTAGTATTAATCCAGTGATAAAAAATAATTTAAAACAAAGAAGAAATACGTATTTATTTATTTTAGTGGAAGAAGAAATAAATAATATACACATATTTGCATCTATATGTAAAGTCACCAGTCACCACATGGGTTGTTGGATTAAGTTTAGTTCGATCAGATATCTCCTCAAGTGACTAAATCTTAGCAATCCAAATCTGACTCAATGGTATACATGGCAGTTATATATGTTAACACCTAGATGAGTTTGCATTAGTTGTATGCAGGAAGCAATGCAAATCTTAGTTCCATCAAAAGTTGTGTTCACACTGTCACACTCCCCATTTAACATGTACAACCAGCCATGGTACAAGGAATATGACATTTATAGAAGGTCGGCTACAGATTTTAGATCTCATGGTTTATAACATCAGAGATGGTTTTTAAATGTGTACATTTGAAGCATTCAGGCTGACCATTTAACATTCTGAATAACTTGGTTACTGCTAAGAGGTGAAAACAGCTTACCAGGCCAATTCCACGATACAGAGAGCTTTGATGCAGAAAGGGCCAAGTTCCCTCCCCATAGAAGGGTTCGTATATACAGAGTGGCTGACCTGTCCGTTCAAGCTCCTTTTCATCTCTTTCATGCAATTCATTTTTCATCCTATCCACCCTTTTGACATTTCTATACACTTCCTCCCATGTTCCATGAGGTTGGTCACTCCTCTCCTTCAACTGCATAACAATCCAATCAAATTACTTAGCATGCATTGTTAAAACGATGAAAAGTGATGTGTTAAATATCAAATTTACGTCAATACTTACATACTCTTCTTCCAATTTCATTTTGGCGCTCATAATACCATTTGCTCTTTCTTCCTTCCATGCAATAGCAGAGAACGTTTCATCAATCTTTGGTGTAATACTGTGAGGGTCATCCTTTCTGTTCCTGTGCCAATCCATTTTCTGGAGCATCTTGCAGTCAGCCAAACTTTCATTCACATTGTATAAGTTCTTCACATCCTCAAATAGATGCCATTTCCACTCTTGTTTCAAAGGTAAAGGTATCTCCCCAGCACTTAACGGGGTCAGTGTTTCGGAAGGAAACTTGATAACATTTTCCAATAGTACAGCATAGCCTTCAATGGTTTCAGAAGCCATCAGATCCTTCGCACGGGCTTTACCAACTGATGCAATATTTTTCCCTAGATCGGATAGTTCCCCATTTGATACCACTTGCAGTAGGACTTGGCTTAACATGGCGATATTCTTTCTTGGAAAAAGGAGTCCATTTATCCCATCATCAATCTAAGCCATCAAGAAAACAGTGTTAGCTTATGATAAGATGTGCAATGGTAAGGTATTGTGTTGATAAATGCAATGCCAATAAAATTTGAGACATCATGAGCATACATATTTTGTGATCATTCCAAGGTCCGGAGCTATAACCAGCTTCTCAAGAATCATAGCTTCAACTAGCACACCGGGGAAGGATTGCTCATCAAGGCAAGAACAGTATATGACAAGGTTAGCTATAGCAAGGAGATTGTCAGTATCTTCAACAGCAACATGCTCCACTGCACCTCTTGAGAAGCCAACATTTAAAGCAATGGCCTATGATTATTAGAGCAATACCAAGCAGTTAGATGCAATTTAAAGGTTTATGACCTCTAAATAGTGAATTCAAACGATGAAAGACAGCATGGTTGTACATCCTAACCTCAAGAGCTATCCTATGCTTATCAGTTTGGTTTCCTGTCAAGATTCTCACTTTCAGTTCAGTCTGTGTGCTATTCTCAGAAGGATACTGCTGTAAAAGAGGTCCTACTGCTTGCAAGACAAGTGCCTCTTCCATCAAAAGCCCATCATATGAAAACTGACTACCAACCATAGCAATTACAAAATCTCTTGGACCTAAACTCAGGCTGATTCTCACATCTTTGTCATAATTTTTCGCAATGAATCTATCAGCTTGAAATGCTGGTGCAGGAGAACCTGGAATCACGAAATAGTTACCAGAATCAAATGCAGCATACATCACCTGCAGGAAATGAATATAATAAAATAATCTTATGTCAGGCTGGGGGATCTACATAAAAATGCAAACATTATTAATTCGTCAAATTTAGTAGTATGAGAATAGCTTAAATACCGGCAATATGTAGTTGGGAAAAACTATAACATTTGCCCTGCTAAAGACTTCTTGCCAACCACCTAGGATTTGAGTCATTCCACTAGACTTATATTCCCTAATACAATGAGCGAGGGAAGTCTCTTGCACAGTCCAAATGACAGGTACGGATTTGAAAGGCTCCTGCAGAAGACTGCAGCAAGACACATTAACTTTGAGTAAACATTTGGAAGTGGTCAAAATTAAACACCTGACTTTGTGCAAACACCTTAGAATAATCTGAAATATGTAGTCACAGTCCTTGTTTCATAACTACCTTGAAAATACTGGCCTTGCTTCAATTGAGTTTACAAGCATGCCATCATAGCTGCAGAAATACAAATAAACCTGGTGAGGAAATGATTAGGATGTGAGGCTGAGGCTACATACTATTTTCAAGTTAAAAATGCTACATTATGAGACAATATGCAGTAAGTAATATAAGCAAAGAACTGGCAAGATATACTTTAAAACTTACTCTAGCCAATCTATAGAAGTGAGTAACTTTGTGTCCACAGGTAAGATCTCAACTGGTATGCCAATAGTACTCCAAATACTACTACATGGGCCATCCTCAAATGAGAAAACCTGCATTGAAAATTTGCAAAGCGGATTAATAGCAACATACAGACAGGGAGTTTATGACATTTCAATCATGCGCATCCATTTTGGTTTGGGTACTTGTGCAGTTCAAGTTTTGTGCAGAAGACCATAGATACACACGATGATAAGAGTGATTCAAGTAATCTATGCCTCGGTACTTGGGTTTTGGCTAGACATCTCAACTTGAATAGTTGGACTAGACAACCAACTTGTTGACTAGACGTGACTCGTCAAGGACAACTAGTGGCTCGACTAATTGTGCAACCCGCTATAAGACTGAGCTCATGTTAGACCGAGACCACTCCAAAAGAGATGTACTTCCTAGTAAGCTCAAAGTATCAACCTAGCTCCCTGCCTCTGATAACCTAATACTGATAGCAAGATGTTGTGCTGATTCAGAAAGTGGCCATGTATTTCTGGCTCCCACTCCAAATTTTGCAGTGTAGTCAACTAGTAAGGCCCCACTTGGATTGTTGATTGGCTCCTAAATACCCCCGTAACCGATACAGACCTCCAGCCATCGTGTTTATTCCAGGCGGAAATCACGCTGCAACCGGTAATATACACCTGTAAATTAAATCCGGGTCTATAAGCTTACACCGATTCCAAGCAGGGTCTAATGTGGTATTTGTAGCAAGCATGGTCCACTAGTCTATGCATCGCACCCCGGCGAAAAGAGTCGACTCTTCGGCCCATAAACTTAATACAGCACTTTAGAACCTATGCACATGCAAAAGTTTCTGCAACATAATGATCATGCACCATACAAAGAAGACAAAACAATAGAAATGAATAATCCGTGCATATAGTACAGATTTTATTTCAACAAAGATCCTATTTCATCCCTAAGTGCTCATGAACTAGCAGTGATCAAAATATCAAACTTGCTGAAAGAGCGCAAAGGTAGAAGGAGGGTTCAGGGGGGAACACCAACCATCGTTCAAGCATACCATAACGCACATAGGGATAATTAGGATACATATACGCGTTATATACTCCATTAGTCTAACAAAATATCACTAAGACTTGCACTGCATAAATCAGATTTGATTGTTGCCACCTCCGAAAGTAGGAGGTACTGACAGTGATACCTCATGCTACCTCTCGTGGAACTGCTATACTAGGAAGTGTGAACGTCGAAATCAGAACTAAGAGATTAGTTGCATTACGAATAGTACATCAGATACGGAATCTGAACTTGCTGTGTATACCATCAAGGAATATCACTTGTGGAAGCAAACCAACTAATGAAGGAAACAATAAAGACACGGCAAGACGCGTTCCGGTATTCAGAAGAAAGCAGTTGAGCCACGCACCTTCATTTCGTAGCCCATCGCCTCCAGCACCGAGGCGACGCTGATCATCTGAAGCTGCATTGCGTCGGGAGAGAGATCCCCAAACACCTAAACGAAGTGCAATGAAAAAAAATCAGAGCCAGAATCGCGAGAAAACAGAACTCAAACACCGCCCAGCCCAGCTCAACAACTCACCAAGGCGAGGCGCGGCTTCCGGGCCCCGACCCTCTTGACGGGTCTCCCGAGCTCCGCCAAGCTCTGAGCATCCTGACTCCGCTCCCTCGCCCACTTGTCCCGCAGCCTCGTGGGCTCGAACGTGAGGCCCTCGCCGGTCTCCAGCCCGCCGAGGCCGCGAGGCAGCACGGCTTCGGTCCCGCCCCGCCCCCGTCCCCCGCTGGCGCGTCGCGAAGGGAGCAGCATCGTCGGGTTCTCGACGACGAGCGATCCGGGGAGGAAGGTGTACACGAGAATGGTGACGAAGAAGAAGGCGGCGCCGGTGCCGATCCACTGAAGGAAGTCCACCTTGTCGACGAGCACGAACCGCGCGAGCCTGGATCTCACGCCCGGCCTCCGCGCCGCGCCCCCGCCGCCCGCCGGGGTGCGCGGCACCGGGGCCGGCGCCGCCGCGCGCTTGTAGCTCCCCGACCCGGCGGCGCTGTCGAGGGAGCCCATCGGCGCTCGGCCTAGGGTTTCGGGGCGGCCGCGGCCGCAGAGAGCATGGCGAGCGAGGGAGCGAGCGATTAGAAGCGAAGCAGTTGAGGAGAGCTGGGGACTGTGGAAGACTCGTGAGTCGTATTTAGCGAAGGAGGCGTTGCGCTCCGCCTGTTTCGTTCGTTTGGTCTGAGAGGGATGGGGGCGACTGGCGAGGACGAAGGGGCCTGGTGTGGTTTAAGGCGGAGGGGCAAGGCGACGCTGGGGCGTCGGATTTTGATCGGACGGCGGGGTTTCGGGGGTTTAGCCTCGCGGTCGCGAAGCATGGGGCCGCGTGTTTCGGAAACCGGATGGAGTTACCACGTCTCGGGCTGCGTGTCATGCTGCCGCGACGCCGTCATGGCTGTTATGGGGTATGACAGGTGGGCTGACTTCTTTCGGGCCCGCGTGGCAGCCTCGAGGGTGAGCCGTTTACAAGGTATCTGTTTTGCAGTCTCTAGCGACATGTTTTTTCTCGTGCGCCGCACCGCTACTTGCCTGGGACGGAAATAAAATTAATCAGAAAATGAACGAAAGCACGCAGGGGGGAAAGTGGCAGGGAAAAGCGAGAGCGGTGATTCGTCGTTCGTCGTTCGTCGTTCGACCGTAAAGTCTGGGCACGGTGGGGTGGGGTACATGCTTGTTACCTCAACTGGGGAAGGGAGGGTAGAGGGGAGGGGGAGAGCCGGGCGGCTCCGTGGCCGAAAGATCCAGCCGTGGCGGCCACAAAGCGGGCGTTGCGTCCGGCCAAAGGAGAACATATGCCGCCCCGCTGCTGACGGCTGACGCAATGCAGCGCGTCTATGCGGCTGGGACATGTGTTGTGTTGCTACATATACGAGTGGAACGCAAAAAAGAAAAAAACATCACTTTACAATTCGCAAAAAACACCGCATCAAAAACATAAGGCAGATAATTGTCTGCCTTTTACTTTAAAAAAGGGAACGCTACACGTCTGCCCATAGAGCAATTGAAAATATCAACCGCCTCCGAAGCCACTGGATTGGGCCACGTATAGCCGTCAGATCTCCCGGATGAGGTGCGGCACGATTGCAACAAGGTAGATATTGCGTAGCTCGCTCTGCAACAACAGCTTTGTTGTAAAAACACCGAAAGCGTTTTGTTTGCTCGATTTTTTTTTATTTTCGTCTTCACCTTTTTTTGCAACATAGATGATGTTGCCGGAGGACTTTTGCAACATAGGCGGTGTTGCGGAAATATTTCATTTCGTCTTTACATTTTGCAACATAGATGATGTTGCCGGGGGACTTTTGCAACATAGGCGGTGTTGTGGGATATTTTTTTCGTTTTTACTGTTTGCAACATAGATGATGTTGCGGGAGGACTTTTACATGAACGATGTTGCGAAGATTTTTCACCGAAAATGATGACATCGTATGCAATGTCAATCGAGATTTATGCAACAAAGATGATGTTGTCGAAGGTCTTCTGCAACAAGGTTCTTGTTGCGAAAAGTATAAAATGCATCGCCGACCAGAGCGACGACGAAGGGTGAGACGGGAGGCTGGGGCGGCACAGCTGGGCCGATGGTGGCTAGAGCGGTGCTCGGGCGTGCACACTCGAGTGGCGGCCATGGCTGCAAGCAGGCATAAAGAGGCGGGGAAGGAGATGCAATGCGCGTGGTGTTTCTAGAGAAGGGGCACGTGCTGCTTCTCGGACCACGAGGACACGTGTCTGCCGATGGAGAAGATCGATGCAATAGTAGCATCCGCCGGTTGATGGGAATAGTCTCCCTTTAAAAACCGCTTCAAAAAATTGACAATGGTCAAAAGCATTGAGTATTTCTTTTATCCCGTTTTTGACGTGGCAAACTGCCCACGTTCCGATTTTAGTTGGTGATGCTGGGAAACGGTCGTTAACGGCCAGTCGGGACCGGCTCGGTCGAAACATTTCCCTTTAGGGAAACAGCCGTCACTGCCCGCTCACTCTCTCACATCTCTCACGCGGATTGAAGCTTCTCGCTCCCATGGTGGCGGCGGGACCCAGATGCGGCGGCGCAAGATCCAACGGCGACGACATGGTGGGCAGCGGCGGAGCTTAGTGCGTTGTTGGGTGTGTCGTGCCCCCCCCCCAAGATTGGCACATGCAGGCTTAAATAATTTAGAGAGAGTATAGATTATAAAGTTTTGTGTGTTTGCCCCCCCCCCCAAAGATCTTGGTCAAGCTCCGCCATTGATGGTGGGTGGGGGCACATCATCCAACGTGAGCGGTGGCTTTGGGAGGGGCACATCATTCCACGGCGAGGGGAAAGATTGCATTGGAAGTAGCATGTTCCATTCATTGCCGCCACTGTCGACGGTCGCCCGTAGGGTGTTTGAAAGCCCCATTGGAATCGTAGATGGACAGTGAGCATTCTTTCCCTCTGTCGGTGGGGTGGGGTACATGGTTGTTACCTCACCTGGGAGGGTAGAGGGAAGGGGGAGAACCCGACGGCTCTGTGGTCAAAATCTCCTGTCGTGGCGGCAATAAAGCGGGTGTTGTGTCGGTAACGAGGCTACATGTCTCATCCTTGATAAACGGGAATGCATGCTTGATCTTTTGGTTAAAAAGGGGTTTTATTAAGATTTTGTGGTTGGTTGGCGGCTCTTTAGCGCACTTCTACCTCTTGGGGAGTACTCAATGGTGTCCCCGGTGACCCTATTCAGCATGGTAGGGGCCTTCGATAGGGTGACCCAGTATCACCGTTGTTGTTCGTCCTTGCTATTGACCCGCTTCAACAGATTTTAGACATGGCAACGACACGTGGAGATCTTCCCAGATTGTTACATGGGTGCGTACCTTCGCACCTCCTTGTATGTCAATGATGCGGTCATTTTCTTGGCACCTCTAAAGGAAGACATTGACATGCTTGTGAGCATCCTCCAGAGCTTTGGTGACGCAATCAGCCTAGTTATGAATGTGCAAAGGAGCTTGGTGGCCCCGATTAGATGTTCGAACATTGATCTAGATGACATTCTTGATGCTTTCCCAGCAGTGCGCACCAAACTTCCTATTCAGTACCTTGACCTCCTCCTCTCGATGCATAGGTTGAGAGCCATGGACTTCCAATGCCTTCTTGACAAGATCGCCTGGAAGATCATCTGTGGTATGGACAAATACATTATGATAGCAGGGAGAAGCACTTGGTTTTGTTTGTTTATCGTCTCACAAACCATTACCGTCTTTGGTCTCTCATGGTGCCCAAAAGGAACATTGAACTCGATTACTAAGCTTCAGCGGCCTCCTTGTGGGGCGGTGTAGATCGAGTGTGTAAGGGCATTTCCCTACTTTTGTGTTTTGAATGATGATGACAACCCTTTGTTGGTCTAATCTTGTGCTGAGTGCTTCAGGTTCTCGGTGGTTAGGCTTTCATCGGATAGCTATTCTCTCTGGAAGGAAAAGATCGAAGACGGAGTTTTTCTTTGCTTTTTATCTCTTTGGTCGTAGGGAACCCGTACTATCAAGAGGGAATCCACATTGGAAAGAGTTGGGGGAATCTTTTCACGTACACTTTCCTCACCCCTCTCTTGCCTTCCTTAGTTGTGAGAGAGTGCTCTTCCCTTCTTATCCTACTGTTTACTATGGCTTCCCAGCGGTTGTACTGCTCTCTAGGAGCGGTTGTACCGCTGGTTCTTAGCGCTTACCAGTTTTGCTCGAGCAGTTGTACCGCTGCTTCCGGGTGGTGGTACCGCCAACATGCTTAGTAATGACTAGGACAGTTGTTCCGGCCAAGTACCGCCCAAGTACCGGTCAGACTTCTGTTTTGATGCGGTACTCGGGCGGTGGTGGCCCGGTTGGTCCGGTCGTACCGGTACCACCGGTGCCCGGAGCGGTTCTACCGCTCAGGACTTAGCCGCCCCGAGCGCTCAAGGCCAAGCGGTTGCACCGGTCCTGTACCGCTCGACTACCACACTCAGGGGTGACTCCCTACTGTTTCCATGCGGTAGTTGAGCGGTGGCTGGGCGATTGGTCCGGTTGTTCTCTTAGACCGGTACTACCGCCTGGTCGCCCGGTTGTACCGCCTGGTAGGGTTCTGCATGTAAACTGTGAGTCCCGGTTGTACCGGGACAAGGAGCGGTTGTACCGCTGCAGTACAGAAAACACAGTAACAGTTGGATTTTTAGGGTTGCTATATAAGGGTGCTTCTTCCACCTACCACACCTACCTTTTGACCTCTCTCACTCCACCATTAATGCTACTCAAGCTCTCTTGCCTGATTTCTCTCTCTAGCCACTCAAACTTGTTGATTTGCTAGGGATTGAAGGAGGAGACCTAGATCTACACTTCCACCAAAGGATATTTGCTTCCCCCATACTTTCTTGTGTGGATTTTGTTACTCTTGGGTGTTTGAGAACCCTAGACGGTTGAGGTCACCTTGGAGCCACATTCCATTGTGGTGAAGCTCCGTGGTTTAATTGAGAGCCTCCAATTAAGTTGTGGAGAGAGCCCCAACCTTGTTTGTAAAGGTCCGGTTGCCGCCTCCAAGTGCACCAATAGTGGAATCACGGCATCTCGCATTGTGTGAGGGCGTGAGAAGAATACGGTGGCCCTAGTGGCTTCTTGAGGAGCATTATGCCTCCACACCGCTCCAACGGAGACGTACTTCCTCTCAAAAGGAAGGAACTTTGGTAACACATCCTCGTCTTCACCGGCTCCACTCTTGGTTATTTCATCCCTTTACTTGTGCAAGCTTATTTGTGTTATATACCTTGCTTGCTTGTGTGCTTGTTGTTATTGCATCATATAGGTTGCTCACATAGTTGCATGTCTAGACAACCTACTTTGATGCAAAGTTTAATTTGGTGAAGAAAAGTTAAAAAAATTGTTAGTTGCCTATTCACCCCCCCTCTAGTCAACTATACTGGTCCTTTCAATTGGTATCAGAGCCTCATCTCTTTTGAAGGACTTTGCCATCCGAAGAGTATGGTTGACGTAGTAGACGGTGTGGAGGAGCACTCCGGTGCGAATTCGGTCTCGTCTAC